TCCCAGCAGCAGAGGCCTGCTGCGAGCTCTGCGGGCTGTACTTCGAGAACCGCAAGGCGCTGGCCAGCCACGCCCGGGCGCACCTGCGGCAGTTCGGCGTCACCGAGTGGTGCGTCAACGGCTCGCCCATCGAGACGCTGCGCGAGTGGATCCGGCACCGGCCCCACAAGGCCGGCGCCTACCGCAGCTACATCCAGGGCGGCCGCCCCTTCTCCAAGAAGTTCCGGAGCTCGGCGCACCCGCGGGAGCCGCGCGGCGCCGCCGCCGTGCCCTTCCTGCCCAAGGGCGGGCTGGCGGCCGAGGCGGCGCTGGGCGACTGCGCCAAGGGCGCCGAGGGCGCCGAGCGGGCGCTGGGCTCGCCCCTGGGGCTGGTCAAGGTGGAGGAGCCGAGGGGCAACTTCAGCAGTGAGTGACGGGAATGGGAAAATGGGAAATGTGGGAATTGGGGTGGGAAATGTGGGGTTTGGAATGGGGAATGTGGGGTTTGGGGCTGGTCAAGGTGGAGGAGCCGAGGGGCAACTTCAGCAGTGAGTGACGGGGGGAAAAATGGGGATTTGGGGTGGGGAAATGGGAAATGTGGGGTTTGGGGTGGGGAATGTGGGAATTGGGGTGGGAAATGTGGGAATTGGGGTGGGGAATGTGGGGTTTGGGGTGGGGAATGTGGGGTTTGGGACAGGGAAAATGGGAAATGTGGGGTTTGGGGTGGGGAATGTGGGAATTGGGGTGGGGAATGTGGGGTTTGGGGTGGGGCCCCTGGGGCTGGTCAAGGTGGAGGAGCCGAGGGGCAACTTCAGCAGTGAGTGACGGGGGGAAAAATGGGGATTTGGGGTGGGGAAAATGGGAAATGTGGGAATTGGGGTGGGGAATGTGGGGTTTGGGGTTTGGGACAGGAAATGTGGGGTTTGGGGTGGGGAATGTGGGGTTTGGGGTGGGAAATGTGGGGTTTGGGACGGGGAAAATGGGAAATGTGGGGTTTGGGGTGGGGAATGTGGGAATTGGGGTGGGAAATGTGGGAATTGGGGTGGGGAATGTGGGAATTGGGGTGGGGAATGTGGGAATTGGGGTGGGTAAAATGGGAAATGTGGGGTTTGGGGTGGGGAATGTGGGAATTGGGGTGGGGAATGTGGGAATTGGGGTGGGAAAAATGGGAAATGTGGGGTTTGGGGTTGGGAAAATGGGAAATGTGGGAATTGGGGTGGGGAATGTGGGGTTTGGGGTTGGGCCCCTGGGGCTGGTCAAGGTGGAGCAGCCGAGGGGCAACTTCAGCAGTGAGTGACGGGGATGGGAAAATGGGAAATGTGGGAATTGGGGTGGGAAAAATGGGAAATGTGGGGTTTGGGATGGGGAATGTGGGGTTTGGGGTGGGGAATGTGGGAATTGGGGTGGGAAAAATGGGAAATGTGGGAATTGGGGTGGGGAATGTGGGGTTTGGGGTGGGAAAAATGGGAAATGTGGGAATTGGGGTGGGGGATGTGGGGTTTGGGGTTTGGGGTGGGGAATGTGGGGTTTGGGACAGGGAAAATGGGAAATGTGGGAATTGTGGTGGGAAATGTGGGGTTTGGGGTGGGGAAAATGGGAAATGTGGGAATTGGGGTGGGGAATGTGGGGTTTGGGGTTTGGGGTGGGAAATGTGGGGTTTGGGGTTTGGGGTGGGAAATGTGGGAATTGGGGTGGGAAAAATGGGAAATGTGGGGTTTGGGGTTGGGAAAATGGGAAATGTGGGAATTGGGGTTAGGAAAATGGGAAATGTGGGGTTTGGAACGGGGAAAATGGGAAATGTGGGGTTTGGGGTGGGGCCCCTGGGGCTGGTCAAGGTGGAGGAGCCGAGGGGCAACTTCAGCAGTGAGTGACGGGGGGAAAAAATGGGGATTTGTGGGAATTGGGACAGGGAAAATGGGAATTGAGGGGTTTGGGGTGGGGAAAATAGGAAATGTGGGGTTTGGGACAGGAAAATGTGGGGTTTCAGGTGGGGAAAATGGGATTTGGGGTTTGGAAATAGGATTTGGGGTGGGAAATGTGGGGTGTGGGATGGGGAAAATGGGAAATGTGGGAATTGGGGTGGGGAATGTGGGAATTGGGAATGGGGTCAGGATTGGGGAATTGGGAATGGGTCAGGATTGGGAATCGGGTCAGGATTGGGGAATTGGGAACGGGCTCAGGACCGGGAACTGGGAATTGGGAATGGGATTGGGAACGGGGTCAGGATTGGGGAATTGGGAACGGGGTCAGGATTGGGAACTGGGAATTGGGAACGGGCTCAGGACCGGGAATGGGGAGCTGGGAATGGGATTGGGAACGGGGTCAGGACCGGGAACTGGGAATTGGGAATGGGATTGGGAACGGGGTCAGGATTGGGAACGGGGAGCTGGGAATGGGATTGGGAATGGGCTCAGGACCGGGAACGGGGAGTTGGGAATGGAATTGGGAACGGGCTCAGGACCGGGAGCGGGGAGTTGGGAATGGGATTGGGAACGGGGAGCTGGGAATGGGATTGGGAACGGGCTCAGGACCGGGAGCGGGGAGCTGGGAATGGGATTGGGAATGGGCTCAGGACTGGGGAATTGGGAACAGGGTCAGGATTGGGAACTGGGAATTGGGAACGGGCTCAGGACCGGGAATGGGGAGCTGGGAATGGGATTGGGAACGGGGTCAGGACCGGGAACTGGGAATTGGGAATGGGATTGGGAACGGGGTCAGGATTGGGAACGGGGAGCTGGGAATGGGATTGGGAAGGGGCTCAGGACTGGGGAATTGGGAATGGGATTGGGAAGGGGCTCAGGACCGGGAGCGGGGAGCTGGGAATGGGATTGGGAAGGGGCTCAGGACCGTGAACAGGGAGCTGGGAATGGGATTGGGAAGGGGCTCAGGACCGGGAGCGGGGAGCCGGCGATGTGAACCCGGGATCGGCGGCGGGGCCGGGCTCCGGAGCGGCGCCCGGAGCCGCCCCATTCCCCGGCGGTCGCCGTGGCAGAGTTCGAGCGGCGCCAGGCGCGGCCCCTGGAGCCGCCGCCGCCCCGCGACGCCGCCGGCAGCGCCGACTTCGCGCGGAAGCCGCCGGAGCCGCGGCCGCCGCCGCCGCGCGTCCGCCCGGTGCCGGCGCTGGTGCCGCGCCCGCCGCAGACCTCGCTGGTCAAGTTCGTGGGCGACATCTACACCCTCAAGTGCAGGTGGGACGCGGCCCCGGGGCCGGGAGCTTCCGGGAGCGTCTCCGGGATTCCCGCTCTTCCCTCCCTGCCCTGGGCTCTTCCCCCTTTTCCTCTTTTCCCCTTTCCCTCATCCCCATCCCTGTTTTTGGCTGTTTTCCTCTTTTCCCCTTTCCCTCACACCCATCCCTGTTTTTGGCTGTTTTCCTCTTTTCCCCTTTCCCTCATCCCCATCCCTGTTTTTGGCTGTTTTCCTCTTTTCCCCTTTCCCTCATCCCCATCCCTGTTTTTGGCTGTTTTCCTCTGTTTTCCCCTTTCCCTCATCCCCATCCCTGTTTTTGGCTGTTTTCCTCTGTTTTCCCCTTTCCCTCATCCCCATCCCTGTTTTTCCCCCTTTTCCTCTTTTCCCCTTTCCCTCATCCCCATCCCTGCTTTTGGCTGTTTTCCTGTTTTCCCCTTTCCCTCATCCCCATCCCTATTTTTCCCTTTTTTCCTGCCTTTCCCCCTTTCCCTCATCCCCATCCCTATTTTTCCCTTTTTTCCTGCCTTTCCCCCTTTCCATCATCCCCATCCCTATTTTTCCCCCTTTTCTTTCCTTTTCCTCCTTTCCTTCATGCCCATCCCTATTTTTGGCTGTTTTCCTGTATTTTCCTGTTTTTCCCCTTTCCCTCATCCCTATCCCTATTTTTCCCCCTTTTCCTGCATTTTTCCCTTTTCCTTCATGCCCATCCCTATTTTTGTCTGTTTTCTGCCTCTTTTCCTGCCTTTTCCTCCTTTCCCTCATCCCCATCCCTATTTTTCCCTCTTTTCCTGCCTTTTCCCCTTTCCTTCATCCCCATCCCCATTTTTGGCTGTTTTCCTCTGTTTCCCCCTTTCCTTCATGCCCATCCCTGTTTTTCCCTCTTTTCCTGTATTTTTCCCCCTTTCCCTCATCCCCATCCCCATTTTTGACTCTTTTTCTGTATTTTTCCCCCTTTCCCTCATCCCCATCCCTATTTTTCCCTCTTTTCCTCTGTTTCCCCCTTTCCCTCATCCCCATCCCTATTTTTCCCTCTTTTCCTGCATTTTCCCCCTTTCCCTCATCCCCATCCCTATTTTTGGCCGTTTTCCCCCTTTTCCTCTGTTTTCCCTCCCCCATCCCATTTTTTGAGGACTTTTCCCCCTTTTCCTGATTTTCCCCCCTTTCCCTTCTCTCCCATCCCATTTTTTGGCTTTTCCCAGCTTTCCCTCATTTTCCCCCATTTCCTTCTTCCCCCATCCCATTTTCTTGGGGTTTTTCCTCATTTCCCTCCCCCCACCCCAGCCCCGTTTCCATCATTCCCAATCCCCAAAATCTGGGAATTCTTGTTGAAATCAGGCGGAATTCCTCCTGAAATCAGGGAATTCCTCCCAAAATTGGGGAATTCCTCCCAAAATTGGGGAATTCCTCCTGAATTTTGGGAATTCCTGCTGAAATCAGGAGGTATTCCTCCCAAAAACAGGGAAGTCCTCCTGAAATTGGGGAATTTCCCCCCCAAATCTGGGAATTCCAACCGAAATCTGGGAATTCCTCCCAACATCAGGGAATTCCTCCCGAAATTGGGGAATTCCTCCCAAAATATGGAAATTCCTGACGAAATTGGGGGAATTCATCCCAAAATTGGGGAATTCCTCCCAAAATAGGGAAATTCTTGCTGAAATTGGGGGGAGTTCCTCCCGAATTTGGGGATTTCCTCCCGAATCCCTGGAATTCCTGCTGAAATCCCTGGAATTCCATCTGAGTTCCTGGAATTCCGTCTGAAATCCCAGGAATTCCTGCCGAAATTGGGGGAATTCCTCCCAAAATTGGGGATTTCCTCCCGAATCCTGGGAATTCCGTCTGAAATCCTGGGAATTCCGTCTGAATTCCTGGGAATTCAATCTGAAATCCCAGGAATTCCGTCTGAAATCCGGGGAATTCCATCTGAAATCCAGGAATTTCTCCCCAATCCCAGGAATTCTGTCTTAAATCTGGGAATTCCTCCCGAATCCTGGGAATTCCGTCTGAAATCTTGGGAATTCTGTCCGAATCCCGGGAATTCCGTCCGAAACCCCGGGAATTCCTCCCAATTCCCGGGAATTCCTCCCAAATCCCCGGAATTCCTCCCGAATCGCGGGAATTCTGTCCAAATCCCGGGAATTCCTCCCAAATCCTGGGAATTCTGTCTGAAACCCCGGGAATTCCTCCCGCCTCCCGGGAATTCCTCCCGACTCCCGGGAATTCCTCCCAAATCCCAGGAATTCCTCCTGCCTCCCGGGAATTCCTCCCGACTCCCCGGAATTCCTCCCGCCTCCCGGGGATTCCTCCTGAATCCCGGGAATTCCTCCCGCCTCCGGGAATTCCTCCCGACTCCGGGAATTCCTCCCAAACCCCAGGAATTCCTCCCAAACCCCAGGAATTCCTCCCGCCTCCGGGAATTCCTCCCGCCTCCCGGAATTCCTCCTGACTCCGGGATTGCGCGGTTGCAGGTTCTGCGAGGTGCAGTTCCGGGGCCCGCTGTCCATCCAGGAGGAGTGGCTGCGGCACCTGCAGCGCCACATCCTGGACATGAGTTTCTCCGCGGCGGATCCGTGCCGGAGCCAGGCGCCCCCGGAGCCGCCGGCGCTGCCCGGCGCGCCCTGAGCCGCTCCCCGGAATTCCCGCATCCCGAAAACCGCCGCGGGATCCCCCGGCAATTCCCAGCCCGCTCCCGGCGGCAGGAAGAAGGAAAATCCCAAATTTTGTATCCCAAAGAACCGGCGGCGCCTCGGGGAGGGAATTCCCGGAATTCCCGGAATTCCCGGGGGGAAGCGCTGTGGATTTTGTACATTTGGACCCTCGCCGAGCTGTAAATTCCCGTTTTTTTTTGTTTTGGTTTTTTCCCGTTTTTATTTTTTTTGGTTTGTTTTTTTAGTGGCCCCGTAGATGTCGGAATTGCCTCAGTTCCGGGGTTGCATGTTCCCAAAATTCCCATTTTTCCCAAGCGAATCCCGCGGGATTCTCCCCCCTCCTCCCGCCGCCGATTCCCAAAATTCCCCCGGCGGCGGAGCCGGGAAATCCCGTGGGAATCCCCAAAATTCCGGGAGGATTCGGCTCCGTTTTTCCCCCCAAATTCCCATTTTTTGTTTGTTTTTTTTTCCCGTCGTTCTCGGTTTTATTCCCGTTTTTCCCCCCTCATCCCGACTTTTTTAAACTCTAGATTCGTGTAGAAAGCCAAGGGAAAAAAAAAAAAAAAAATCCATTTTTATTTGGAAATCCCGAAACTTCCGGATTTCGGAAGGAATTTTAACGGAGAAATATTTTGGGGTTTTTTTTTTTCCCTTTTTTTTTTTTTTTTTTAAATTTTTTTTCCACGTTTTTCGGGACGTTTCCGGCGGTTCCTGTACCCGGGGCTGGGCAACGATGGATTAAATTCTTCTGGAGATGAATTCCCGGGAAAAACGGAGCCTCTGGATGCCTGGAATGCGCGATTTGGGGAATTCCAGGGAAAATTGGGAAAATTTGGGGAAATTCGGTGAAGTTCCAGGGAAATCCAGGGAAATCAGGGGAAATTTGGGGGAATTCCGGGGAAATTTGGGAAATTCAGGAGGACTTGGGGGAATTCCTGGGAAATTTGGGGGAAATTTGGGAGAATCCAGGGAAATTTGGGGAAATTAGGGGGAATTCCAGGGAAATCTGGGGAAATTCCTGGGAAATTCGGGGAAGTTCCAGGGAAATCGGGAAATTTGGGGAAATTTGGGAGAATCCAGGGAAATCAGGGGAAATTTGGGAGAATCCAGGGAAATTTGGGGGAATTAGGGGGAATTCCAGGGAAATCTGGGGAAATTCCTGGGAAATTCGGGGAAGTTCCAGGGAAATCGGGAAATTTGGGGAAATTTGGGAGAATCCAGGGAAATCAGGGGAAATTTGGGAGAATCCAGGGAAATTTGGGGGAATTCCAGGGAAATTTGGGAAATTCAGGTGAACTTTGGGGAACCAATTCCTGGGAAATTTGGGGAAGTTCCGGGGAAATTTGGGAAAATTTGAGGGAAATTTGGGGGGAAATCCAGGGGGATTTTGGGGAATTCCAGGGAAGTTTCGGGGAAATTCAGGGGAAATTTGGGAGAATCCAGGGAAAATTGGGGGAATTCCAGGGAAATTGGAGGAAATTTGGGGGAAGTCTGGGGAAATCCGGGAGGATTAGAGGGAATCCAGGGGAATTTTGGGGAAATTTGGGAAAATTTCAGGGAAATTTGGGGGGAAATCCAGGGAAATTTGGGGAATTGCAGGGAGGATTGAAGGAGGGGAGGGGTCAGGGATGGGTTTGAATCCTGGGATTTGGGATTTGAGAGTTTGGGATTTGGGATCTGGGATTTGGGGACAGATCCTGGGATTTGGGGATTTTTGGGGGACAGGGATTTGGGATCAGGATTTGGGATTTGGGGGGACACATTTTGGATTCTGGGATTTGGGATTTGTGGATTCTTGGGGATTTTTGGGGACAGGGATTTGGGGATTTTTGGGTTGTTTTGGGGATTTTGGGGACAGGGGTTTGGGGATTTTTGGAGACAGGGATTTGAGGATTTTTGGGTTGTTTTGGGGTTTTTGGGGACAGGGATTTGGGGATTTTTGGAGACAGGGATTTGAGGATTTTTGGGTTTTGGGGATTTTTGGGGATAGGGATTTGGGGATTTTTTGGGGACAGGGATTTGGGGATTTTTGGGTTGTTTTGGGGATTTTGGGGGATTTTTTGGGGACAGGGATTTTTGGGGACAGGGATTTGAGGAGTTTTGGGTTGTTTTGGGGATTTTGGGGGATTTTTTGGGGATTTTTGGGGACAGGGATTTGAGGAGTTTTGGGTTGTTTTGGGGATTTTGGGGGATTTTTTGGGGATTTTTGGGGGCAGGGATTTGAGGATTTTTGGGATGTTTTGGGGATTTTGGGGGATTTTTTGGGGATTTTTGGGGACAGGGATTTGGGGGATTTTTGGGGACAGGGATTTGAGGAGTTTTGGGTTGTTTTGGGGATTTTGGGGGATTTTTTTAGGGGGGATTTTTGGGGACAGGGATTTGAGGAGTTTTGGGTTGTTTTGGGGATTTTGGGGGATTTTTTGGGGATTTTTTTGGGGATTTTTTTGGATTTTGGGGCCGCTCCCCCATCACGTGACCCCAGCGCGGGCCCCGCGTCCCCCACGTGACCTGCACGAGCTGCGCGCGGCACGTGACCAGCACGTGACCCCAGGTGACACCGCACCTCCGCGGGGGGCGCGGCCTCATCGGAGACAGCCAATAGCAGCCGGCGCTGCGGCGAGGGGGCGTGGCAAAGGGCGTCCCTCACGCGATAGGTCCTCACTGGGCGCAGCCGGCCAATGGGAGAGCAGAGCTGCTGAAGCCACGCCTCCTCATCAAGCAGACTTTCATTCCAACCAATCGCAGCGCGGAGAGCGCGATGAACGACGGCGGCCGGAGGCCAATGGGAGGCGCGAGCCGCGCGGACCAATCAGCGCGGGGGAGGCGGCGCGGCGCGGCCAATCAGCGTCTGGGGGCGGGGCCGGCGCGGCGCCGTTACCGCCCGGGAAAGGGGAGGAGGCGCCGCCATCATGAGCTACGGTGAGGGGGGGCGGCACCGGCACCGGCACCGGCACCGGCACCGGCACCGGCACCGGCACCGGCACCGCCACCGGCACCGGCACCGCGGCGCTGCGGGCGGCGGGGCCGGCCCGGCTCGGGAGGGGCCGCGGGAACCCTGAGGGGCGGCGGGTCCGTGAGGGGCGGAACCGGGAAGGGCCAGCGGGAACCGTGAGCGGCCGGTGGTTCCGTGAGGGGCGGGAATCATGGGGGCTCAACGGGGTCCCTGGGGTGTCTCTGGTGTCCCTGAGGGATCTCTGGGGTCCCTGAAGGGTCTCTGAGGTGTCTCTGGTGTCCCTGAGGTGTCTCTGGGGTCTCTGAGGGCTCCCTGATTTGTCTCTGGGGTCCCTGGGGTGTCCCTGGGCTCCCTGAGGGCTCCCTGAGGGGTCCCTGGGGTCTCTGGGCTCCTTGAGGTGTCTCTGGGGTCCCTGAGGGGTCCCCGGGGTGTCTCTGGGATCCCTGGGGTGTCCCTGGGGTCCCTGAGGTCCCTGAGGGGTCCCTGGGGTCCCCGAGGGGTCCCCGAGGGGTCTCTGAGGGGTCTCTGAGGGATCTCTGGGGTGTCTCTGGGGTCCCTGAGGTGCCTCTGGGGTCTCTGGGGTCCCTGAGGGGTCCCTGGGCTCCCTGAGGGCTCCCTGAGGGGTCCCTGGGGTGTCCCGGGGGTCCCTGAGGGATCTATGGGGTCCCTGGGGTCCCTGAGGTGTCTCTGAGGTCCCTGGGGTCCCTGGGGTGTCCCTGAGATGTCCCTGGGGTCCCCGAGGGGTCCCTGAGGTGTCTCTGGGGTCCCTGAGGTGTCTCTGGGGTCCCTGGGGTGTCCCTGAGATGTCCCTGGGGTCCCCGAGGGGTCCCTGAGGTGTCCCTGGGCTCCCTGAGGGCTCCCTGAGGGGTCCCTGGGGTGTCCCGGGGGTCCCTGAGGGATCTATGGGGTTCCTGAGGGGTCCCCGAGGTGTCTCTGGGGTCCCCGAGGGACTCCGGGGGGACACCGGGACCGAGGACGTTCCTGAGGGTCCCGGGGGGTCCCGGAGGGCTCGGCCGGAGCCCCCGGGAGCAGCGGGAGAGCCCCGAGCCCCATTCCCGGGGGTTTGATCCCCATTCCCGGGGGTTTGATCCCCATTCCCGGGGGTTTGATCCCCATTCCCGGGGGGGGTTTGATCCCTATTCCCGGGGGGGGGTTTGATCCCCATTCCCGGGGGGGGTTTGATCCCCATTCCCGGGGG